GGATGCTCTGCGGGGAAGGAAGGCCGGGAAGCCCGAGGCCAGGTGCTCACCAGGTGCTTGCAGGCGTCGTTCATGAACTCGCCGTAGTGGAGGCTCCACTCCTCGTGCAGGTGCTTCTGGAACATCTCGGCCAGCCCAGCGCAGCCCAAGAGGGGCCCACACGCGCGCAAGGCAAACTTGCAGGCCTGCGAGGAAGGAGAGGGGAGGAGTCGTGGGGCCTTTCCCGCAGAGGCGAAGGGAGCGGAGCCCCTCCGAGCTGGGGCACCCACCTTGATGACCTCTGGCTTCGGGTCCTGGAGGTGGAGCAGCAAAGTCACCAGGCCGTAGAGGATCTGCTCCAAGAAGGCGTCCTCACCACTCCCGGAGCTGAACTTGGCCAGGTTCCCGAAGAGGAAGGTGGAGGCCTTGCGGAGGTTGGGCTCCTCCTGCAAGGAAAGCAAGGCCTGTGGGGGGGGTGTCCTCCCCTTCCCCCCCTGGACCCTCTTCTCCTTCCCAGATTTCACCCCCCCAAAAAAAAACCCCACAATATCCATCCAGCGCAGTCTGGAAACTAAAACATACGAAGAAGGGTTGCACGAGTTTGGGTTTGGCTACTCTAGAGAGGAGGAGGAAGGAGAAGGGGAGACATGAGAGCAGCATCACAGGATTTGAGGGGCTGCTGCAAAGGGGAGGAGGGGGCCAAATTATCCCCCGAGGCCCCCGGAGGCTGGACAAGAAGCAACGGAGGGAAACTAACCAAGGAGAGGAGCAACCGGGAAATAAGGAGAAACTTCCCCGACAGGACAATTAACCAGTGGGACAGCTGGCCACCAGAAGTTGTGGGTGATTCATCACTGGAGGCTGCCCAGTTTAGCCACCTGCCCGAAATGGTGCGTAGGGTCTTCTGCCTAAGCAAGGGGCTGGACTAGAAGACCTCCAAGGTCCCTTCCAGCTCTATTCTGGTTCTACAGTCAGGTGTTCTCTTCCCAATTCCTCTCCCAGGACAGGGAGCGTGCTCGCTGTATCGTCCTCATCATCCCCTCCCACTTGCCCCGCGTGCGGGCATGGAGAGTCCACTCCCGAGTGGGCAACGCCGGGCTTCTTTGGCACTGCCCTCCCCAAGCGCATCTCCACCCATCGTCTTGCTGCGGCACAACGCCCAAAGACGCAGGTGGGGACACGGTTCAGCCCTTGGGCCTGCCCCTTCTCAATACGGACAAGGCAGCTGCACCTTTGAGGTGCTTGCCGGGGGATCGGGGGAGGGGCAGGGATTCCCAAGTCACCTTCGGAATGACCAGGGGTTCCACAGAGGCATAAATCGGCCACCGGGACCAGATTATGCACCACGACACCTGCCATGCTAGACCAGGGACCTCCGAGCGCAGGCTGGCTGGGGAATTCTGGGAGTTGAAGTCCACAAGTCTTCAAAGTGGCCCCGGTGGGAGGCCCCTGACTTAGATGACCCTTCTGGTCTCTCCCAACTCTATCATTCCTGGCTGGCTGGGGAATTCTGGGAGTTGAAGTCCACAAGTCTTAAAAGTGGCCCCGGTGGGAGGCCCCTGACTTAGATGACCCTTCTGGTCTCTTCCAACTCTATCATTCCTGGCTGGCTGGGGAATTCTGGGAGTTGAAGTCCACAAGTCTTAAAGTGGCCCCAGTGGGAGGTCCCTGACTTAGATGACCCTTCTGGTCTCTTCCAACTCTATCATTCCTGGCTGGCTGGGGAATTCTGGGAGTTGAAGTCCACAAGTCTTAAAAGTGGCCCCAGTGGGAGGCCCCTGACTTAGATGACCCTTCTGGTCTCTTCCAACTCTATCATTCCTGGCTGGCTGGGGAATTCTGGGAGTTGAAGTCCACAGGTCTTCAAAGTGGCCACGTTTGGAGGTCCCTGTGCTAGACAAACCAACCAGAAGGCATCAGGGCTACCTAACAGATTCCCCCAAAGGGCTGCCGGATCCCCGGCCCGTTTGCGCTCCTTACGCTGTCGAAGAAGGGCCGTATTCGGATGGTGACATGGAGCAGCACGGCGTGGACGTCGCTCTCTTCCGTGAAGGCCAGGATCTTGGAGAGGCTGGACATGGCTTCCAAGGCCACCAGGTTGTGGGGATCATCCTTGTCGTCCAAGCTGCTGATCATGGAGGACAGAAGCTGGCCCCCGTACTTCCTCGCCTGCAAGAGGAGGGAAAGCGGACGGCGTGGGGCCAGCAGCCGGACGTCCACCACAGCTTCCGCGCACGTGCTCTGGACAGGTGGTGGTCTGTCCCGGAACCTGGGCGTCCTGCTTGGGCAACCAACGTCCCACCCCAAGGAGACCACGGATCAGGTGAGGGAGGATGAGAGACCAGGCAGGTCCTCTGGCAGAGAGGCGGCAGAGCTCAAGGGACCTCAGGTGGCCACCCAAGCCCAGGAGGCCTCACCTTCTCTGGGGAGCCCGAAGCGACGTTCCCCAGTCCACGAAGGGCCAGCATCCGCACCGCCGTGGAGGAGTCCCTCAGCCGGGCTGTCATGCTGTCCATCAGGGTCTCCAGAAGGATCAGATCATTCACCACGTTGCTGTTGAGCAGCTGAAAGACGCCCAGCCCATCGTTTGTGGCGCGGGGGAGCCCCCCCCCCCCCACCAGAACGATTGCACCCTCCCTCCACTCCATCGGCCCAAACCAAACGGCAGAACTCCTGCAGGGACGGCTGGGCCCCACACTTGGTCCAGCTTGCCAGCTCCCAGATGGAGCCGAAGGCCCCTTTTGGACCTGCCCAATGGCCCCCACCGCCCAGGGGGAGAAAACCTGAACCCGGATGAGGGGAGCGGGGCCTCCTGGATTTGCAGAGGCCTCCTCCGCAAGGAAGTCCTCCCTCTCGCACCCAACGCCCCCCCCCCCCCCCCCCCGCCCCGGGGCCGCTGCCTTGCCTCGTCCCCAGCAACGGGGTTTGGGGAGGCGAAGGACCCGTGCAACGGCAGCTCCCCCCTCCGCATGCCCCTGCGCACACGGGTGCAGGCTCCCCCTCCTCAGAGCGAGCGCGATTCATGGCCAAGGCTCTCCCCTCCCCCCCTCCCTCCCTCCCATCTGGCTATGGGCTTCCCCACGAGCCTCTTAATCCCCGGCTGAGATTTTAAGAGGCCGCTTCC